GAAAAAAGGAAAAAAAAAAGACATTATATAATTTTTATAATTAGAGCTATATATTTACATTTCTATGAGTAGTTCTCATCTTTCATTTTGTGACGGCTTCTCTGCCGGCGTTCCGCGGGTTTTTCGCAACAAACGGGGTTTCAAAAAGCCAGCTATGTAATCTTGGACCGTTCCTGTTCAACATTCTTATTGCACTTCCTCTACCGCTGACATATGAGTGCTGTGTGGCTGTGGCATTTAGTTCGATTACTGTAGCAAATGTTTGCTAAACTTGTTATCCAACTCAAGAGAGCATGCATATCGAGCTCATTTCTCCACTTCTCTCTGGCCCTGGCCTTTTAAGCTGATCTAAAATTTGCTGTTATCTGCCGATAACCCCAGCAGGCTTTCGCGATAGTTGCTTGTATCATACGTTTGTAAAGGCAGGTAGGAGGAGCGGGTCAACACATCTGCTTGTAAATGTTTTTTTTTCAGTAACTTTTTGTATTTGTGAAGTGTTGTCTCGAATCGGAAAACTTATGTGCTCCTCTCCCAGTGAGGCATCACAAGGGCTGTGTAGAAACTTGGGGTGCTTCGGAGGGTTTTCTTAGCTCGTATCTTTATCCACTTCAGGCGGCTGTGATAACTAGGAGTATTTGTGACAAAACCCGTGAACTGGGCTGCCATGCGAGGCATTTTGAAGCTGTACATGAGGGCAGTGGTGCTGCTGAATTCCGGCGACTGCTAGGGCTCGGTATAGGCAAGACAAAGGTGCCGAAGGAATATGTGCCAGACAATCTGCTCGATTTATGCGAGCCATTTGAAAATGTTGCCGCTCGACTTAATACTGCCTACGAAATATCCAAAGACTGTGCATTACATCGAATTTTGGAAGCCGAAATGCCTAATTATTCGATGTTGCATTCCGAAAAGGTTTCCATTTAACTTTCATACATTTTCATTTCATTTATTCACTCACCAAACAGGACATACACGTACGTGCCTTTGAATATAGAGAAGCGAGAGAAAATACAGATCAGAGGAGCCGATTCGAAATTTAAGAACCAAAATACAACAATTCTAGTCACAGCGTAATTCGCTCAAATTTATCGCAGATATGGAACGCACATGTAGACGGCATTTCGGAAAGCGCTCCTTGATGCAAAAAATGCATGCAAATAAACTGCTTAAGGATTTTATTTGCAGGTAGTG